CCGCCCCGCCCCGCCCCGCCGGGCAGACCCTGGCCCCGCCTCCCTGACAGACCCGGTCCCTCCCCCAGAGGGTTTCAGGCCCCGCCCCTGGGTGACGCACGCGCTCGGCCGCCGCGCAGAGAACCAATCACCGTCCGCTTCTACGTTTAGTCCCTTTTTGGCGTCCGCCCTCAGCCAAAATGGCGCCATCTCGGAAGTTGCCGAAGCTCTAGAAGTTGCCGAAGCAGGTCCGGAAGCTGCCGAACGGGTCCGGAAGTTACCGAAAGAGAGCAGCGGGGAAGAAGGATGGCGGATCTCATCGCAAGACTCCGGGAGGACGGGATCCAGAAGCGTGTGATACAGGAAGGCCGAGGAGAACTCCCTGACTTTCAGGATGGAACCAAGGTTCGTGCCTAGCCCCCTCCCCTCAACCCTTCTGCGGCGCGGTGCGCATGCGAGGCGGGAGGAGGCCTTAGGCGAGAGGTTGCGCATGCCCAGATAGTAGTGGCCGGTGACCCTACTGCTCACATGCCGAGCTCGACGCTGGTTGGTCTGAATTTCAGTACGGGGTGAATTTGGATACGTCTGCCTCGCCCCGTGGCTTGGCCGTGTGGCTGCATTGGTCGGGGAGGCCGTCAGTCATCGTAAGAACGTTGCAGGGGTTTGGCCTCAGTGTCTAAGCCGACCCGGAGCTGGAGGAGACCCGGAGCAGGAAACCTGGGACTTTGGAGGTGCCCCAGGACTGGGGAAGGGAGCCCGGGGCCTCCGGGTTGCAAGGTTGAAGTTCTTTTATAGATAGGAGGGCCTACTGAAAACAGTTAAACCAGCTCCCATTATTTAGATGGGAAAAGTGAGGCCCCAGGGCACGCAAACCCATTGAATATGCCCAGAGGTCAGGTCTGCCAGACGAGAGCCTTTCGGCAGTTCTAAGTGATGTCGCTCAGGACGGACAAGGGCTGGGACTAGGGCTCGGAAGGTAAAGAACCTACCACCCTCCTCCTTGGTACATCCAGTCCTCTTTGATCCCCTCCCCCAGACAACCTATGCCTCCAGGCTTCCGTGCTTCTGCTCAGGCAGGTCCCTCCTCCTGGAGTGCCTTTCCCAGTTGCCACTTGTCTGTAGAGTAAGGAGCTTCCCAGGGGCAGCCCCTGGGCCCAGCAGAGCAGCCACACAGAACATGCACAGGGAGAGAATGATCAAAGATCCTGGCCTAGACTGAGGACACCACAAGTCAGAGCAGCTGTGAATGAACACACGCTCCTGGGGTAGAACTATGCCAAGGTTGGGCAGGTAAAGATCCTAGCCTGGCTCGGTGTGAGTGCCCTGAAAGCAGAGGGGAGCTGCATGGTTCTGGTGATCAGTTATATTGAGAGGGATCGTTTCTGAGCGGAGAGAAGAGGTGTGGGTGCGGATGCATGCTCCCATGGGCTGGGGGGTTGATGGCCTTGAAGAAGGTCCTAGCAAGGGAGATTCTGGATGGAATACACACACCCGGAGGAGACACATTGTAAAGATAGTGAGATAGGTGAACAATGGCACCAAAAAACAGGGACAGGTAATATTAAATAACAATCCCCAGGTTAGATTGAATGCTCCTAGTGCACTGTGCTAAATGCTACACAAGTTTATTTCCTTCCATTCTCACAATGTGGGATAGGTACTGTTGTTGACGTGGGCTTCTCTACCTATGTCCTGCCGAGGGTTCAGTCTTGAGATTTCTTCTCTCTGCACTCACCCCCAGATGATTTCCCCCAGGCTCATCTCTAGAAAACTCTCAAGCCTCTGGGTGGCTCAGTTGGTTAAGCGTCCGACTTCGGCTCAGGTCATGATCTTGTGGCTCTGAGTTCAAGCCCCACATTGGAGTCTCTGCTGTCAGCCGCAGAGCCCGCTTTGGATCTTCTGTCCCCCGCCTCTCTCTGCCCCTTCCCCTCTTGTGCACGTGGTCTGTCTCAGAAATAAATAAACATTTAAAATATAATAGTAGGGGCGCCTGGGTGGCTCAGTCCATTGAGCATCCAACTTTGCCTCAGGTCATGATCTCGCAGTTCATGGGTTCGAGCCCCACATCGGACTCTGTGCTGACAGTCGGAGCCTGGAGCCTGCTTCGGATTCTGTGTCTCCCTCTCTCTCTCTGCTCCTCCCCCATTTGCACTCTGTCTCTCTTGCTCTCTCAAAACTAAATAAACATTGGGGCGCCTGGGTGGCGCAGTCGGTTAAGCGTCCGACTTCAGCCAGGTCACGATCTCGCGGTTCGTGAGT